AGAGAGAGAGAGAGAGAGAGAGAGAGAAACTGGAAAAAAGGAAACCCAATTCTTTTTCAGGGTATGTTATTGACCTCTCATGGAATTCCCTTGTACTACTGAGGGCCCGCCTCACAGTGGCTGGATGTGTTCTTACATCATGGAAGAAGGACACGACAAAATTATGTTTTCTTCATGTCCTCTATTATTTGAATCTGTAGAAGCATTGAGTCTAATCCATAATACATCCTTCAAGGTTATGGCTATGTACAATCTCTACATAACACCCAGTAGAGGAAGTTGGTGGAACAAGTTATAGTCTACACTGTTAGAACTGGTAAGGAGATCATATATGATAGCACCATCTACCCAACCATACTTCCTATATGTAACTCAGCCATGACTTCAGCAGGACTGTGTGGCTTCTGAATGACGTCACCACAATCATTTCTTACTGTAGAAATGAACAGATCTCCATTGCAGCCATTGCCTGCTTACAGTTACCCTGGACATGGTACCAAGATGCTCCAATGAATCCTTGGGCCCATATGTTTCTTCTAGTACACATTGTGTAGCTATAAAACTTACTCCTTGTAACCAGTAACAATGCTGCCACTTTTGAAAGTCTTTTTGTCTACTGTTTGCCACACACAAATGCCCAGAATGATGAAGAGCTATAGCTATAGATTATTGTGTTTCTTTGGTATAATTTCCTCCCCATACCCCACAGTGTGAATCAGGACTTACTCATAGAGCCTAAATTTGTAGAGAAGGGAGGCATTTATTTCACACATTAGTCACTAGGTTGGCAGAAGGGCCCAGTCTTACTTCCTCTTGAGTTATAGCCACTGGGGCATAGCACAATGTTTATGGCTTTGATTCAATGAATTTACCTCATAGTTAACTGCATCTTAACTCTGCAGGACATTGTCCCTAGTCTGGTACCATAGCCAATCTTTTAATGGGCTGAGAGGCACCATTTTCCCTTGACAATATGACTCAGTGCTTCTGAAGTTACACAGATCATGATGGGCAGCTCTGGTTGAATGGTCACATTATCCCATGGTTGGTACTAAGCTGCTTTGGGGATAGTAAATTGTTCTCTGCTGTAGAAGGCATAGCCTTGATTTAGTACCTTAGGGGTCCCTGGGTCCTACAGAGACTCCAAACAGCATCCCAATTTACCACAAATATCTAGAGTATCGGTCCTACTGTGTTACATGACCAAAGTGCTATCTGTTTGCTTTGCAGTTTGGATCTGCACAGCCCTCTGTGGGTTGCATTCAAAACTAGTGGCTTTATGAGTCACCACAGCAATGTGCCCTAGTAGTGTATGTGTTGCTTTCGGAGTCCAGAGGCTCAGTCATAAGGGGATGTGTCTCTTAAAAGGAAAGATAGGAAAGGGAACAACTGGCCCACTTCCTTGAGGGGCCATCCTGACATGCTGAAGACCACTGGACCCAAATATCATTGATGTGGATAGATCCCAACATTAGATAGATTGCCTTCTACTTTCTGCTATCTCAGACCGAGGCACTGAAGTAATGTCAAGCCTAATGTATGAAAGAACATAAACTTGGGGGCAGAAATAATAGAATGTATGAGAAATAGCAATTCAAAGTGGCCATGGCAGTAGACATATGAAGTAGCTGTATGCAGTGGCAGAATGCTACAGAGATATGATTTTCTGCAAAATGGAGCTTTAAGTCAGTTTGGATTTTCAGTTATCTCACCTCATTGAACCTTGACTGAGTCATGTGCCCTTCATCCCCACGTGATTCCTGTTTCCTAACTTTCCACTGCCCATATAATTACGATAACTAACTATACTTCCCTCCAGTACCACTTTTAATGGGCATTGTTCTTAAATTGTTCCCCAGATCTCAAAGAATTGTATTATTTTATATTAATTACACTACAGGGCATAATTGGAATTTTACTTCGACCTTCAGCCTTCCTTTTAAGCTAACTTTAGTGTGATTTTTCTTTGTATGTGACTGTATATGTCTATTATAATAAAATCTTAAGAGAATAAAATAAAAATCAATTCCAATTTCATCACACAGGGATAGGGATGACATTTTGGTACCTATTCTTTTAAAATGTTTTCCCTCACTTCTGTGCATATTTTTTCTTTCAACAAAATGAGATCCACTGTGTAAGATGACTTGCAATTTTTGGGCTTCAGTGATTTGTCATGGTCACTACTCCATGTAGTAACTCTTCTATCACATTTGTATACAGATTTTGTAACTTTGTGTTCCCAAGCAATGAATAAGGGGCCTACTTCCTATCATTTTCAGTGATGCAACAGAGCATAATGGTTAGCACCAATATCTGAAGTCAGATTCTTTGCCTTTGTTTCCCTGTTTTGCCACTTACCAGCAAAGTGACCTAGTAAATAGTTAAATTCTCTGTGCTTCAGTTACTGTATCTTCCTGGTAGATACTTCCAGTATTGTTTATTACTCATAAAAGATTGCGAGCAGTGACATACAGTCTTAGTGTTTACTATGATTACTTTTAACACGACGAAATGTTTTAAATTTGCATTTCATTTGTTATTCAGTTAACATTTTTTCATTTATTTTTGTCAACTTAAGGTTTGTTATATGCTTGTTCAAATTCACTGATTCTTTTTTCTGATGTAGTATCTTTTTGTAATGATTTTAAGGATTAAGCAACATAAATTAAAGATCAGTCTTTCTTTAGGATTGATAATACATCTTATTAATAGGAAAAATACTTATATTTTATCTTTAATGCCTAATTGAAAGAAGGTTTACCCAGGGATATTGTTGTATAGTAGGAGCTTCTAAAACATTTTTAAACATTGAAAATTATTGATAGGCATATTCTAGAGAATGTAATCAATTTTAAAAGTGGGGTTTTTTTTTTAATAGTAGTCAACAACTATGTCACAAATCACACCAAGTAGTCTGATGAGGACACCAATTGCTACCTTGTCTGAGCTCCAAATGCTGCCATCTGTCTAGCTGATGCTGCTAGCTCTGGTCACTGAAGCCCACACTGGTAGTGCTGAGCACCGAGAGAGAGAGAGAGAGAGAGAGAGAGAGAGAGAGAGAGAGAGAGGTGTAATTGTGATGGATTCACAACTGATAGGCAACATGTAACACACAGCTGAACTGAATCAGTGTGGGACTGGGTGCAGAGGGCCCACCTGAAGACTGTTGCCAACAACATTAAAACAAGAACTAGAGAAG